CTTGGGTCCATACCATAATGAATGTTTCATTTTACTTGTATTTTTTTTGTTGGTTAATAAAGACATTTATTATTATTACTATTATTATAATACCGTTCTAATGAATTTACAAGAGCGTTTTCAGTATCTTTACATGTTTGATGTTTTTTTTTTATGAAGTTGAAGTTAAAAATACCAAAACAATGTTAGAGAACTAGAGTGCGTTAAGCTACTATAAAAAAATTGTTCTAATGAACTACTGTCAGGTTTACAAGAGCGAGTTCAGTAACTACAGATGTTTGATGTTCTTTTAATCAGAAATCGCAGATAAAATTATCAAAATAATGTCACAAAACTCCAGAACTACTAGAGTGCGTTCAGCCACTATAAAAATAATGTTCTAATGAACTACTGTCAGGTTTACAAGAGCATGTTCAGTAACTACAGACGTTTGATGCAGCGATAATTCTTTACAATGTTGACCGATTCCTAAGATCCTTTTTTTGTTAGAAACGGGGTACCTCAGGGATATAATTCAGTGGTTTAACGTAGACATAACGTGTTTTTTTTATCAAACTATTATAGCAACGTCTATCAATGATGTAATAACAATGTCTTTTTATTCAACGTTGTTACAGTCGATGTAGCAAGCCACCCGTTTCATAGATGAGACAAGTGACAGCTGTAGAAATGAATTTCGCGCTCTACGATATGCATTTGTCCATTTTACAGACCGTATTAAACAAACTTTCCGAGAATCGCATTCAGCACATATAAAAAGAACTCTAAGTACGTTTTGTTTATCTGTTTGTGGGAAAGATTGAAATTTTCGCTTTCAGATTGTTTAGGAAAATGTTAACTTTTCGTTAGAGGTTTTCCACTAATTTTCCGGATTTATCTTACGTTTAGCAAAAATAAAAAACAAAATTACGACAATTCCGACGAATCTTCCGGGAAAAATAAACTACTCATTATTAATAATCTGGCATCAAAATGTTTCTGATACCAAAAGCACAATTTCCAAAAAAATTAGACGAAAATTTAGGTCGTATGCTTTTTCGGGAAAAACTTTGTTTGAAATAGGAGACAGGGCAAAAAATTCATAAAATTATCCGGTTTTTTCTATAGGCGGATATCGAAAAATTTATAATTTTCCTTAGGAAAAGTAGTTTCCACAAATTTTCCGACAAAACCAAACTTTTTTCATCAGATTTATCCATTTCTGGAAATTTCCTTCCCGAATTTTCAGGGAAAAACTAAAAATTCACGAAAATTACTTGACGTTTCTCACAATTTTACATCGAAATTTTCTTGATGCCTCAAACACATTTTCCATGAAAAATAGGAGGAACATTTGGGTAGAACGCTTTTCCGAGAAAATTATGCATAAAAGAGGCGATAGAAAAAAAGACATTAAGAAGAATTATCCATTTTGGCAAGAAGAGTCTATTGGTGCATCACATGACATGGTTTTTATGGTAGGGAGAGGGGGAAATAAAAATCCTTGAAACATTTAGATATTTTCAGAAATTGATGAATAATGGATGTCTGTATAATATAAAATATTGAAAGTTGTTCTACGTTAAAGTGATTTTTCACAAATTGTCTAGGGAACCAACTGCAATAGTCACATGATACACTAAAGTTTTAAACGTGTTAAACTTTGACATAACGTTTACAGACAGTAATTTTAAGAACCTTTTGCAGCTTCAATAAAATGTACGATTTGGAACGCACTCAACATTGACAGTCGTCACTTGTCACTGAAATGACAATGCGGTGACAAATCATATGTCGCAGCTCCAATAAAACTTATATTTTTAGTCTGTGATTCGGAACGCACTCATAGTCATCTATCACTGAAATGACAATGAGCAGACAGGGTTGGGATTCTCATCTTTCGATACGGCACGTGTTGAGACTATCTACATTCCATGGAATGCAATTTTTATGTAATATCTCATCCCTGTCCAGATCATATATACCACCTCCAATAAAACGTATATTTTCAGTGTACGATTTGGAACGCACTCATCATTCGTCAGTTGTCATCAGTCACTTAAATATAAGAGTTTTTCGCGTTCTGTGACACCGATTTTTCGTCACTTTTTTCAAACGGAATTCAAAGAAAGGCGCTTTTTTTCCTGAGCTACGCCGCCTGGCTATTTACATTTGAAGTCGGGCGAAAATAAACTAAAAAAACTGTGCTAGTAAAATAAAAAATATATATCAATATATTAATTAGTTATATTATTTACAAGAGATTACAGGAAAACTTCAAATGCAAAAATTCCTGTTTTGGGAACGATTCAAACGTAAACAAAAAAAAAATATCCAACTAAAGAGTGGAATGTACTTATACTTCGTTATTTTTTTTTTTATTTTATAATGCTTAAAATAACTAAACATAAAAGAATGCCTAAATTACGAAAAATTACAATAAAAAACAAATAAATTACTTAGACTACCCTTGAAATGGTAATATATATTATGAAAGAACAGTATCAAAAATTTTTATATGTATATTAAAAAAAAAAAAACAACAAAAACAAAAAAAAATCCGTTGAGAGACAGTGAACTTTTACATCGTGAAAATAAAAGGACAAAGATTTTGGATTTTCTGAAACTCATTTTTTTTTTTTTCGATCAGAAAAGTTGTTGTAAGTACATTTTTTTTTATTCGTCTATTTCACCTTGCATCTTTTATTTTTAAAAGTATCAAATTATAAAATTATATATACAAGGTGGACCACCGGTAACTCCTCTGTCTGTAGAGCCAAAACTGATTGCTTTTTTTTTTAAATATTTTCACAGCGAGATGTACATCAGAAAAAGTAACAATTTAATAATAATTTCAATTATACATCTCCAGGAAAGTGATACATATCAAAGTTAGTTTTTTTTTAATGAAATTTAATTTTCTGTTTGAATTGCCCTCGTTTTTCATATTATCACGATACCAAGGATTACACAGGATATTTCACTCTATAACCAGTTTAACTTTTTATTTATTTTCATTATTTATTGTGTGATAATAATCGATTATTCAGAAATAATCTTTTTAACCAATAATCGAAAATAATTGATCTCTCGATTAATCGAAAATAATCGATTATTTGAAAATAATCGATCTCACGATAAATCGAAAACAATCTATTTCTCGATTATTTATTTTGATAAAAATTGATCAATAAACAACAAACGAAAACAATCTGTTAATAGAAAACAATCGATTTATTGAATATAACAGATTAATAAAAAATAATCGATTTATCGAAAAAAATCGATTACTGATATAAAACTGATTAATAAAAAGATTATTTTATCAAAGTAAATAATCGATTATTTTTTAATTATCGAATATTACTTATAATCTATTATTATTTTATTAATCTATTATATTTAATAAATCGATTGTTTTTTATTAACAAATTGTTTTCGATTGGTAACTAGTTAATGAAAAATAATCGATCTCTCCATTAATTGATAACAATCGATCATTTATTTTGATAATTATAGAAAACAATCGATTTATGAAAAATAACTGATTTATTTTAATAACTAGTTAATGGAAAATAATATCGATCTCTTGATTAATTGATACAATCGATTAAACGAAAATAATCGATTAATAAAAAATAATCGATTAGTCAAAAATCGATCATTTATTTTGATAATTATTGGAAAGTAATCGATTATTGGAAAAAATTTGGCCAATAAAAAAAAATCGATTTTGTTAACTAGTTAATGGAAAATAATCGATCTCTCGATTAATTGATAATAATCGATTAAGCGAAAACACTTCATTAATCGAAAATAATCGATTAGTCGAAAATCGATCATTTATTTTGATAATTATTGGAAAGTAATGGATTATTAGAAAAAAATGGCCAATAGAAAATAATAGATTTATGAAAAATAATTGATTTATTTTGGAAAATAGTTAATGAAAAATAATCGACTTCTCGATTCATTGATAATAATCGATTAAGCGAAAACACTTCATTAATCGAAAATAATCGATTAGTCGAAAATCGATCATTTATTTTGATAATTATTGGAAAGTAATCGATTATTAGAAAAAAAAATTGGCCAAAAGAAAATCGATTTATAAAAAAATGAATTAATGAAAAATAATCGATCTCTCGAATAATCGAAAACAATTGTTTAATCGAAAATAATCGATTAATATTTGGAATTGTTACAATAGAAAAAGCGAGGCAATTCAAGTATAAAACGAAATACAGCGTCCCATTTTTATTAAATCATAACTTCGATATGTATTTCCTGAAAAACCCTGTATAATTGAAATTATTTTTTGATATACAGGGTGTTTAAATTAAAGTTTTACAGTTAAATACCGCCTTTTATAAAAAAAAACGTTTCAGTCGAAAGTTTTATAGTTTTTGGGGAAAATTTTTTTGGCTAAAATCGTTTTTATATTGTTAACCATAATATGATCAACTTTTTTTTTGCGCAGCAAAATTTTCAAGTAGGTGTTAATCAATAAGTAAAAGTCCAATAAAAATTTTTTTCCTTTAATAGTTGATTTTTTTATGAACTTTAAGTATAAATATGTAAAAAAGAATGGGGTTCTAATTTGAAAAAAAAGTCCACCTCGATATGGCCATATTTTGATCAGATATAAAAAAATGAATTTAGACAAAATGTTTCCCCCAAAAAACTATAAAACTTTTTTTTATAAAATGCACATTTTCGGCGATATTTAACTGTAACACTTTAATTTGAACACCCGGTATAATACAATTTATGGTGAAAAAAAATTTTAAAAAAGCAATTAGATTTGGAATTACAGAATGAAGCGTTACCGGTGGCCCACCCTGTATAAAACAACGTATTAATTCAAATGTCAATTTTGAACTAGTTTAAATAAATGAAGAACGTATTTCAAAACTTTCTTAATATAAATTATTAAACATATTCCAAATAACTTTTTTTTTAAGACTCAGAAAATCCATTAATTTTTTTTTCAATAAACATCCAATACGTTCAGTCCTAGTTTTTTAAGTTTCTAAATCCCAAATAATTGGAAAAAGTGACGTGTCTATACAAGAGGACACCGAGACGTCACCAGTTTATTATATAGAGGAGAGCGGAGAGGGAGAAATAGAAAACAATTATCCGTTTCAAAATTTCTTTTTACAATAAACATGAATCTCATTTCCCTCAAAATAGGTTTAGTTCTAACTCGAAAATATACAATTTGGTAAATAACATTTCAAAATCTCTATAATGAGGATCACCCTGTTTACAATATATTTATTAACAATCTTTCATCAAGAAAACATCAAAATTTCTTTCTAGGAATGTCCAGGGACTTAGCATTTATTTGCCGCATTTAAAATGTCATTAAATATTCAAATTGAGTCAATTTTCAACGAATTTTGACCTTTCAGGTAGACAGATTAACTTTTATGAGGTTAGGGGAAAGGAAAACCAACGATTTCTACATAAATTAAAACAATAAAATCCCGAATGTGCTTCAAAGTAATAATAGTAATAAAAAATATTTCATAGAAAGTTATACAAATTAGAAATGATTAATTGTATATAAAAATGAGGCATCAAATCTAAGTAACAAATCAGATTCATGACTATTTAATTTCAATAATTTTTTGGGTAGAGTATTTTTAATTTTGAAACTCCAACACGTTTACCAGATTTGATCTTATTAAACTTTTTTTATACATAAATTAGAAAGACGATATTACATTCCAGACATAATTTATTATAAATAAATAAATGTATTAAAAAAATAATTAAATTATAACTTTCAAACGAAATTTTAAGACACTAACATATTTTAAATCGTATGATAATTGAAAACGAACAAAAAATATACCATTAGAGAAGTCCCCAGATCTGGGTAATTCTGGATAATTTTTACTCGAATTCAATCGGTTCGTCCAATAAGAGACGAGTATTTCGATCACGTGCACACAAATTTCCCCACATCTGGGGAATTTGTTCAAAATTATATTCCCGCGTTTGTTTTTAAATAATTTATTATTTCTATCTACCAAATTGAATATTTTCGAGCCAAAACCTGTACAAGACTCCCGAATCCGATCCAAACTTCAAAACGGTGGTGAAGAGGACAACAGAGGAGCGGAGAGGGTAAAAAGATAATTAAATAATGCAACTACAATGTGTTTGTGTGTGAATAGAACCTATCGTTAAAATAAAAAGTAAAAAAAAAAAAATTATAGGTAATTACGTATTTGTCACTTCGCCTCTACGTCCTCCCGTATTTTCTTGGTCGACGGTTGAATGGTAGTGTCTACGTCGTACGGCCGCTTCAAGGTGTTTTCTATACTGTTCGAGTCTTCTGTTGAGGGCAGAGAATCTTTGCTCAATTCTGGAACAAAAAGCGAACAATTTTAAACCCGCCCAACGAGAATATATCGGTCGATATAACGATCGCCACGCGCTCCAAACTTACGTCTACTATAGAAAAAAATTTACACAAACAGTCAACAAATGTGCCAGATTTGGATAGGGGGGACAAAATAATCGATTTAATAATTATTAGATAATGTTGCGAAAAATCAAATAATTATTTTTTAGATTAATCGATTATTTTCGATTTTAATTGAAATAATCGATTTAAAAAAATAAAAACAAATTTTCTTTTAATCCAATTAAAACTGTATTGTGAACAACTTTTTTGGAAAATTATGATAAAATTTAAAGTTTTCGTTTAAAAATTAAAAAAAAAATTGTCGACGCAAATACATCAGGGAGCCCTAAAATAAAAAATGTGGTTTTTAGCTCACACTGGTATAAACAAAAGTAATTTCTCGAATAAATATTGTTCGATAATTCGATATATAAATTGGTAACAATCGAATATAAGATTAAAAACTAATAAAAATAATATCGATTAATCTAATAATCGATACATCGATTAATCTAATAATCGATTATCTGATTATTCTGAAATAATCAATATAACGATTAATCGAAAATAACCGATTTTCTGAATAATTGATTATTGGAAAATAACTAACAAGAATCGATCCCTCGATTAATCGAAAACAATCGATAATCGATTTTAATTTTTGAAAAAATAATTATTATATTCGATTTTGATTAATCGATTAACCGAATAATCGATTTTAAAGAAAAAAAAACAGAAATATATATTTTTCTTTCAATCTAATAAAAAATGTGTTGTGAGACAACTTTGAAAATTATGCTAAAATTTTGGTTATTTATTTTTTTACTTATAATAGATAAATTAATAACAATCGATTATAAGATTATGTTTATTCAGAAATAATCAATTTAACGATAAAAATAATCAATCTTCTGAAAAATTATTTGAATATTAACTGACTAACAGAAAATAATCGATCTTTCGAATAATCGAAAACAATCGATTAACCAAAAATAATTTATCTCTCGATTAACCGAAAACAATCGATTATCAATTAATTGAATTAAAAATAATTATTAAAAAATAATCGTTTAAACGAAAATAATTAAATATTTTAAATAATCGATTATTTATTTTGATGATATTAGTGTTGAAAAATATAAATCGAAAACAATCGATCTCTCAGTTAATCGAAAATAATCGATTTTATCAATAATTGAAAATAATCGACTATTTGAAAATAATAAATTTACCGATAAATCAAAAACAATCGAACTCTCGATTAATCGAAAACAATCGATTTTATCAATTAATTGAAAATAACTTATCAATATAAAATATTCGATGTCTTGATTATTTTAAAACAATCGATTAGGCGAAAATGACAATCTGTCATCAAAAATATTGGTTTATTGAATAATTAAAAATAATCGATTAATAATTTGCTAAAAGGAACGATTATAAACTTTGAATAGCCAACTCCCATACCGATTAATCCATTCGATTATTTGAAAATATGACATCAATTTAACGATAGGTACCTACATCGAAAGTAATCGATTTTCTGGATAATTATCTGAACATAGAAAATAACTGACTATTGGAAAATAATCGATCTCTCGATAAATCGAAAACATTCAATTAGTCGAAAATAATCGATTATTTAGAAATAATTAATTTACCGATAAATAGAAAACAATCGATATCTCGATAAATCGAAAACATTCAATCAGGCGAAAATAATCGATTAATTAAATAATCAATCTCCCGATTAATAGAAAATAATCGATTATTTGGAAATAATAAATTTACCGATAAATCGAAAACAATCGATATCTCGATTAATCGAAAATAATCGATTTTATCAATTAATTGAAAATAACTGATCAATAGAAAATATTTGATCTCTTGATTATTCTAAAACAATCGATTAGGCGAAAATTAGCGGTTAATCAAAAATAATCGATATTGAATGATTAAACATAATTAGAAAATAAAAAATAACTGGCTATTAGAAAATAATGGATCACTCGATAAATCGAAAATATTCGATTAAATTTAAATTGAACATAATCGATCTTTCGATTAATAGAAAATAATCGATTTTATCAATCATTAATTAGGCGAAAATGACCGATTAATAAAAAATAATCGATTATTGAATAATTAAAAAGAATCGATTAATAATTTGCTAGACGGAACGATTAGAAATTTTAAATAGCCAACGCGCATACCGAATTTAACACCATATCGATTAATCTATTAACCGATTATTTGAAATTATGAAATCAATTTAACGATACATTGAAAATAATCGATTAAACAAATACTCAGTTTACCGATAAATCTAAAATAATCGATTTTCTGAATAATTAATCGAAAATAACTGACTATTAGAAAATAATCGATCTTTCTATTAATAGAAAATAATCGATTTTATCAATAATTAATTGAAAATAATCGATTATTTGAAAATAATATATTTACCAATAAATAGAAAACAATCGATCTCTCGATTAATCGAAAATAATCGATTTTATGAATTAATTGAAAATATTCAATATCTTGAATATACAAATACAATCGATTAGGCGAAAATTACCGATTAATCAAAAATAATCGATTAATAATTTGCTAAAGGAGACAATTAAAAATTTTGAATAGCCAACGCGTAAACCGAATTTAACACCATATCGATTAATCTATTCGATTATTTGGAAATAATCCAGTTAACGATCAATCGAAAACAATCGACTTTTTGACTAATCGAAAATAATCGATTTTATCAATTAATTGAACATAATTGATCAATAGAAAATATTCGATCTCTTAATTATTTTAAAACAATCGATTAGCCGAAAATTACCGGTTAATCAAAAATAATCGATTAATTGAATAATTAAAAATAATCGATTAATTAAATAATCAATTTGAAGATAAATCAAAAATAATCGATCTCTCGATTAATAGAAAATAATCGATTTTATCAATATTTAATTGAAAATAATCGATTATTTGAAAATAATCAATTTACCGATAAATCGAAAACAATCGATCTCTCGATTAATCGAAAATAATCGATTTTATCAATTAATTGAAAATAACTGATCAACAGAAAATATTCGATCTCTTAATTGTTCCAAAACAATCGATTAGGCGAAAATTACCGATTAATAAAAAATAATCAATTAATTGAATAATTAAAGATAATCAATTAATAATTGGACGATTAGAAATTTTAAATAGCCAACGTGCTTACCATCTTTAACACCATCACGTTTTTTTTTATTATTGTTTATTCATAATTAAAAGGGGTTCAGCAAAATCAGAATTATATAATTTTAGAGGGATACTCTTCAAATTTTTGAGTGGCCAACGTGTTCACTAGATTCGACATTAATAAACTTTTTTTAAGGGCTCTGACGCATTCGTCGGAATTATCCATATCATAATTTTCTAGAAGGGATAATTAGAAATTTTGAATAGCCAACGCGCTTTCCAGATTTAACAACATTACATTTTTTTATTAAGATTTTTTGAAAATTAGACAACTTTGAGTGGCCAACGCGTTTATATTTCCATTTTTTATGAATAACCAAAAGGATTCACCACAATTTTAATATTATATCATTTTAACGCAATATTTTCAGAACCTTCAAACGCCACCACATTCACCAGATTTGACCCTATTATAAATAAAACATTTCTAATTTATTTTTTGTGGTGTTGTGATTCAAAATTAACTCACCTTCCGACCCTGATACGACGCTGTCGTTGGTCTCCTCGTTTTGATCGATAGATGGCGGGCTGTTATCCGTGAACGAAGTCGTCGTGGTGTCTTCGTCGATGATCGTTTTCCCGTTCAGTGGACCCTGATTGCTTTCGTCGGATGTCGTCGGATCGATTATCGAATCGCCGTTTTGATGGACTACCGGTTTCGGAACGGCGTTACCATTTTCTAAAGGACTACCGACGAAAATACCTATAAAAAATGTTTACAATTCAATAAACGAATTTTACAACCCTAAATAATAAAATAAACGTTAATACGAATCTAGTGCAGTTGAGATATACCATACGATTCAGATAGTATACTTCTACCTGATGATACCCCCCTAAATAGAGAAGCTAAGACATTTCCCAGATAGTGAAATATTTTGAAAAGGAAATTAGGAAGTGAAATAGTTCAAAACACTCGAGTGCATTAATCTTTTTATAACATAATTATTAGCAAATGTGCCTTTTTTAAATAGAAAGTTTATCATCAGGTTTGACAATCATTCTTCGGGTCCCATTACAATACAATAATACAAAATTAGTACCACATTACATTATAATTTTTTTAAACTCTATTTCCCTTAAAATGAACACATAAAGCAATCCCACATAAAATCAAAAAATATCGCACAAAATTAATAAAATATCCCACATAAAGTTAATTTTAAGAATAGCTGTGAGTATACTAACGAAAACATATCAAAACAATCCCCCATTAAAGTAATCCCACATAAAATCAACCCGCATAAAAATCGATAAATTATCCCACATATAATTAATTTTAAAAATAGCTGTGAATATACTAGTGATTACATAAGAAAACAATGCTCCATAAAATCAACCCGCATAAAAATCAATAAAATATCCCACATAAAATTAATTTTAAGAATAGCGATAATATGCTAATAATTTTATATGAAAGCAATCTTCGGATAAAAGCAATCCCATATAAAATCAACCTCCCACAAAAAATAAAAAAATAAATATCCCACAAAGTTAATTTTAAGAATAGCTGTGAAATATTCTAATGATTAAATATGAAAACAATCCCCCATAAAAGTAATCCCACATAAAAATCAATAAAACATCCCACATAAAATTAATTTTAAGACTAGCGGTGATATGCTAATAATTCTATATGAAAACAATCTTAGCATAAAATCAATCCCACATTAAATCAATGAAACATCTCATTCAATCAATAAAATATCCTACATAGATAATTTTAAGATTAGTTGTGAATATACTAATGATTTTATATATGAAAACAATCCCCCGTGAGAGTAATCCCACATAAAATCAACCCGCATTAAAATGAATAAAATATCCAGCATAAACATAATTTTAAGAATATCGGTGAATATATTGAAGTGTTTTTAATATGGAAATTAAATTTTATATGGTAATTAAATTAGTCACCCCCTTTTTCTGGGTTATGATCAGTACAATGTTTGAAACCATACTTTAAGTACATCCAACTTTCTATTATGATTTAAGGGAAACTTACTAGAGAGTAATTCCGGCTTGTGTTCTGACACCACGTAATGCGTCCATAAGGCCAATTCGACCTTGTGTGGCGTCCATCGAACGTCTTCGGGCTTCTCCGTTTCTTCGGTGGATTCGTTCAGCCTCGTCTCCTCGGTGGACTTGTTCAACCTATCGGCGGCGTTGTTAATATGTGTGGCGAATTTCAGGTACTCCTTGGTGGTGTAGTCGATACCCTCGATGTCCGGTATGGCCATCAGGCATTCGTCGGCCATGAAGGGGGCCGTTTCGGGAGAAGCGGCCGCCAATAGTGCTGCAAACGAACAATTAGGTATTTAGCGAGGTTCAAATGCAGCTAAATTGCCTTGTTATGGTAAAAGTACAGCGAATATGTATGCTAATTGGCATTATACAAGTTCTATATTTGAAGCTCTTTTTTACTTGGCTAATTTAAGAGGGTTTTAACTAGGGCTATATAGTTTTATCCAGTAAAATATATACATTAATAGTTTTATAAATATCGGAAAGGCATGAAAAATGCTAATTGGCACTATACAAGTCCTATAAAGCTTCTACATGGTTAATTTAAGAGTTTTAACTAGGGCTACATTGCCTTCAGCAAATCAAATGTCCTTTAATAGTTTTCTAAATATCAGAAAGGCATGAAAAATGATAATTGGCACTATACAAGTCCTATAAAGCTTCTACATGTTTAATCTAAGTTTTAACTAGGGCTACATTGCCTTCAGCCAGTTAAATATGTTCTTTAATAGTGTTCTAAATTTCGGAGAGGCATGAAAAATGCTAATTGACACTATAAAGGTCATATAAAGCTTATACATGGTTAATTTAAGAATTTTAACTAGGGCTATATTGCCTTCAACCAGTCAAATATGTTCTTTAATAGTTTTCTAAATATCAGAAAGGCTTGAAATATGCTAATTGGCACTATACAAGTCCTATAAAGCTTCGACATGGTTAATTTAAAAGAATTTTAATTAGGACTATATTGCCTTCAGCCAGTCAAATATGTCCTTTAATAGTTTTCTAAATATCCGAAAGGCAAGAAAAATGCTAATCAGCACAACACAAGTTCTGTAAAGGAAGATTTAAAGTTTCTAAATAAATAAATTAAGAGGGTTATAATTAGGGCTATATAGCCTTCATTCAGTCAAATATGTCATATCATAGCTTTCTAAATATAATTTTATATTAAACAAATTCTATTTAAAGTTTTTACAGGATTAGTTTTAGAGGGTTTTAACTAGGGCTATATTGCCTTCATCCCGTTAAATATGGAGTTTGGTTTTTAATTCTACAGAATCGGCCAATGAATACCTTTTAATATCCCTTAGTACAGCTTGTGAAAACTACAGATAGTGAGTACTACAGTAAGCAAGAAAGAAATAAAACCAACGTTGTCATTTATACGACCCGATCGCGTTATAAAGTTCGCCAGGCCATATAGACTGGCATCGCTGGTTTTGTTTCTTTCCTGCTTGCTCTCTGTAGTTTTCACAGGCACTTGTGCCAAGGGATATTAGAACGTATTTGTTGGCCAGTACCGTATAAACGTATTTCTTTCTAAAGTTATAAGTAACGAATCTCTTGATATATATTTTTGATATTTGGTACATTGTCTTGCACCCACGGCCGAAACAAATAACGTTCTAGTCTGAATAAAAATCCAGGTCCAGATGTACAAGAAAAAAATGAATAAATTGTGGTGTTCTTAAAATAACACCCTGTACTATATCAGAATCCGTTCTAAAAGGACAAAAAAATAAAAAACTTTTTGTTATTAAGCGTTATATTTTACTACTCAAATTTTGAACATGAATTGAAGTTTTAGTGCATTTTGTTCATCAAAAATTAAATTTTATTGATTTTTAATATTAAATTATGTAAATATTTATTAATTTTTATTAATTTCTATAAATTTTTATAAAATTTTTAAAAATTTTTGTTAATTTTTAATCATCTTTATTAATTTTTATTAGTTTTTATTAATTTTTAATATTTTTTATTATTTTTATTAATTTTTAATAGTTTTCATTAATTTTTAATAGTTTTCATTAATTTTTATACATTTTTATTAATTTTTATTAATTTTTAATCATTTTTATTAATTTTTTATTAATTTTTAATAATTTTTATTAATTTTTAATAGTTTTTATTAATGTTTATTAATTTTTATTAATTTCTATCAATTTTTTATAATTTTTATTAATTCTTATTAATTTTGAAGTTTTCATTAATTTTTGTTAATTTTTATTAATTTTTATAAATTTTTATTAGTTTTTATTAATTTTTAATATTTTTCATTAACTTTTGATAGTTTTCATTAATTTTTATTAGTTTTTATTAATTTTTAATAGTTTTCATTAATTTTTATTAGTTTTTATTAATTTTTAATAGTTTTCATTAATTTTTATTAATGTTTATTAATTTTTATTAATTCCTATCAATTTTTAATAATTTTTATTAATTTTTATTAACTTTCATTAATTTTTATTAATTTTTGTTAATTTTTATAAATTTTTATTGGTTTTTATTAATTTTTAATAGTTTTCATTAATTTTTATTAATTTTTATTAGTATTTAATAATTTTTTATTAGTTTTTATTAATTTTTAATAGTTTTCATTAATTTTTATTAATTTCTATTAATTTTTAATAATTTTTATTAATTTTTATCAATTTTTATCAATTTTTATCAATTTTTATCAATTTTTATCAATTTTTATCAATTTTTATCAATTTTTATCAATTTTTATCAATTTTTATCAATTTTTATCAATTTTTATCAATTTTTATCAATTTTTATCAATTTTTATTAATTTATATTAATTTTATTAATTTTTATTAATTTTTATTAATTTTTATTAATTTTTATTAATTTTTATTAATTTTTATTAATTTTTATTAATTTTTATTAATTTTTATTAATTTTTATTAATTTTTATTAATTTTTATTAATTTTTATTAATTTTTATTAATTTTTATTAATTTTTATTAATTTTTATTAATTTTTATTAATTTTTATTAATTTTTATTAATCTTTATTAATCTTTATTATCTTTATCAATTTTTATAAATTTTTAATAGTTTTTATTTATTTTCATTCCTCAAGGGTCTAATTGGGGATCCTTATTGTTTTTATTATTTATCAATGATCTTTCCACATCATTAGAGTGTAAACATTTATTATTTGCTGATGAATTGAAAATTTACTCAAATATGACTTCTCAATTACACTGTTTATTTCTACAAAAAGAATTGAATAAAATCTCTGATTGATGTACAAGTAACAATCTCTTTTTTGGATAAATGTAAAATTTGTACATATGGTCGCAAACTCCGTCTGGTTCTGCATGATTATCAAATAAATATCTTTATCAAGGGTTACGCAGATGCGAGATCTTGGAGTCACATTTGATTCTAGTTTGCAATTTGTGTCTTCTAAAGTCTTAGGTTTTAGTATAAGACATTGTAGAACTTTTTCTAATGAAATTGTTCTAAAAACGCTATTTTTTGCACTCATAAGATCAAAACTTGAATATACATCGATTGTTTAGGATTAACTTATTCTAATCTTATTAAATAATTAATTATTAACTAATTTAAATAATACTTTAATTCCGCCACACATTTTACCTAATAATTAAATTAAATTATGATTTTTGAATGTTCTAAAGTGTCCTAAAACGGGATGGAATCGGTTTAATATTTCCCATTTCCAATTTTTTATATTAATACTTACAATAATAACACTAAAACAACCAATTGTAAAATTTTGGGGTTTTTTACATGTTTAAAAATAGAAAATTTTTTTTTATAAGTTTAGGATCAATAAACATTAAATTCGTGGAAGTTTATCTTTAGTTACGACTGTATTACCTTGCTAAAATAAAAATGTACAATTTTACTTTAAACACCGTTTTTTACATATTTTCATGATAGAAAACAACTACAAAGGAATGTAGAAATCGACAATGTTTATTTGGACAAATAAATATAAGATTTATCTTTAAAAAAAATTACTTGTCACAAAAAAGAGAAACCATTTTTTTTCGATATATCTTCCAAGTTATTTGTCGCTTTCCTTTTTAATCAACAACATTTAACAGTGACTAAATGCACACAGAAAAAACAGCTCCAAGATGAATCAATTGCTATTAAAATTTATTTTATTTATACCCACCAGTCTGATAAACTATTTAATATTACGTATTTCGAAAAATCTATTTAAAAACTAAGAAATTAATATAAAAATATATTTCTCCACGACTATGTAATAATAAGTTGATGCTTAATACATTTTTAGTTTAGGTACGATATACATTCTTCCACTAGTTGAAGAATGTAAACATTCCAACACTTTCTATCGCTCGTGTTGGAATAATTCTCGGGAATAATAGCCATCATTCTATGCTCGTTGAAGAATATACTATTAAAGAACATTACTGCAATACTGTAGGATTTAAAGTATAGATTGTAAACTTCAAGAACCCGCAAAAACAGATTTAAAGAACATTTGCCACGTAAACGTTCTTTAAATCTCTTAAGGTACCGGAAAATATAAGAATCAAACTTACCAGAAGCCATGGTGGTGCCGACGCCCTTCAAATTCGACAGGGCCTGCATGGCCTGTTCCAGATTGGGCAATTTCCTAAACGCTTTCTTCGTTTCGGCCATGACGGCCCTGGGCGTGTTCACTTTGACCAAATAGGAGAGTTGCGGGAAGAATTTTCCCCTCGTCTGTTTCCATTTCATGCATTGGACTAATTCCTCGTGGATCAAGTGGGCATCTTTGCCGCGACTTTTGATTGTTTTCGGTAGTTCATTTTGGAACCTGGAAGAAAAACGTACAAAATTAGGGACCGGGATCAAATTTTTGTTCTGGTGGAATGAATAACTTATAACTGGTGATAATATCGGATTTAAAATTATATCTTTTAAAACGGTGTTAAAATTATCATATGAGCGATTCTCGTGTAACTGCGATTTTTACAACTTAAATTTTTCTAATATTAAAAATGTTTTAAAACGTATGTTTTACGCGTATTTGTTTTCTATTTATGTACACAAATAAGCCTGTAAAGTGGTTCTACTACAGCTACAACACAACGAAAACTGTGACAAAATTTCAAAATTTTAATGCCATGGTATTGACTAATAAATGATTTTTTTTAAACCAATCGAACGATTGGTATAAAATTGCAATAAAATTCAATGCAGTATGCATTAGACTGATATTTCGAGTAATTTATATGCAGCTTAAAACAAAAATTGGGAATGTTTATGATCTAATTCATATTGTGTAACGGTTAAATCCGTTTTCGTTATTTGACCCAGACCCGTTCTCGTTATTTTGAAACCAACATCTCTACACAAACGTCAACTGTCGTTTATGCCTCTTGTGTCAAAACTTGGATTGTCATTTTTCGATATATCTCTGTCAACAGCAAGTTGATTCTGTCAAATTTGCAACAACATCTGGAGTTCCTCAGGGTTCCATTCTGGGCCCGTTACTATTTAATATTTTCATCAATGATATTTCGAGTATAATTTTTTACTGTATGCAATGATTTAAAATTATACAAGCGTATGACAAGTATTGGCGACTGTGAACAACTTCACATGAACTTAAATCTAGTGGTTGAATGGTGTAATAATAATAAAAAACGTGAACTTAATCCAATTAAATGTAAAGTTATGTATTTTACTTTAAAAACCGACCAAATAAAATATAATTATTTAATAGATAATGTCTCACTTCAGCGACCAGATACTTTTACAGATCTTGGGGTAATTTTTGATCCCGGATTGACCTTTATATGTCACATAGATAAAATGATTGAAACATCGTATCCTATGTACCAGGGATTTCGAAGATGTAGCCACATTAAAAACGTTATATTACTCTCTTATAAGATCAAAGCTTGAGTATGCGTCTGTCATCTGGAGTCCATTTTACCAACTTCACACGGATCGAATTGAAGCAGTTCAAAGGCGATTTCTAAAATTACTGTGTTTAAAGGAGGACGGTGTTTATCCGCCAATCGGAATACCACATCAAAATCTTCTTCAAAGATATCACTTTTTAAGCCTTATAAAAAGACGTGAATACCATTGTTATGTGTTAGGTTTCAAAATTGTTAACGGTTTAATTGATTCTACTGAACTGTTGAGAAAAATTGATATCTGCATTCTGAGAGTATCCTCTAGAAATTCAGACATATTTCACATATAGGTACCTCGCACAAATGTTCTGAAAAATTCTCCATTTCATACTATTAGCCGCGTTGTGAATAGTGTGAGTAGTGACATTGACATCTTCTCATGCAAACTTAGGGAAATAAAATGTCATTTCCTAACTTAAAAAAAAAATTGTATTGTATTTTACCTACTAGCTGTTTACAAATTTTTGTATATTTTGTACCACTTAGTCTATATAATGTATGTGTTCTTTTATTCCTGCTCTGTAATTGGGATTGCCTGTAGAGCATTGTAATAAATAAATAAATAAATAAATAAATAAATAAACAAATAAATAAATAAATAAATAAATAAATAAATAAATAAATAAATAAATAAATAAATAATAAAGAAAGCTATTACATTAAGGAAAGTTCAGCCTCGTACTGCTACTGGCCGGTAATGGTCGGATACTATCGATAGTCGGCTATACCGATAGTCTCAAGAGTTACTATCGATGGTACTATCGAAACTATACCAATGTTGCACGTAATACTGAATTAATGAATCCGGGAATCCCCAGTGAATGTATTCGGTCATCATACGCTGATGTTTCTTTAATTTATTCTTCATAAAGCAAGAGGTGGCAGCACAAACAGTAAATAGGGACACAAAAAACGAGAGGAGGCACACTTGCGATTGCGGGCGTGTATGATAGTTAGGCCAGTGGCAGCTCTTGACTTGTGTAATAAGGAGGGCTAAGGGCACCAAAAAATCATTTAAGCAGCTGAATACGACGCTTTTTAATTCCGTTACTTTCATGATAAATAATTATTACGAAGATAAATAAACAACACCACACTAAATCAACATAGCAAAACAAACCACGAAGCTATAGCAAGATGGACTGACTGAGCTGCGCCTGCCAACGGCGCCAACGCTTGCATCCAAAATGCATAATTTCTTCCAATTACTCCGCAATCTACACGTTGACGTCGGTAACCATGGCAACCGTCCAGTGATTCGCTATGAGCTACTGGTACTACGCCCAATAAAATAATTATAGCGCGCATTTATTATATGATAGAGAAAAACCGTATTATTCGTATTGTGCAGGTCCGGCTCGTCCGTAGCTAATTAAATTGTTCGCTCATAAACTTTATTATTGTATTTATCTGTGTTCATTGTAAATAAATTTGGAAGTTAAATAAAATTACTGATTAAGTAATGGAAATACTAATTTATAGATGACTCCTGCTACTTCGCAAGGAGGTCGGTGCCCCAGCGTTCTTCCTCACTAGCCGCCACTGAGTTAGGCAACCTTTAAAACAGATTATGATTTAGTGCTGAATTGCAGAGTGCGTTTTTATAAATTTGATTTATTTTTAATCTTAGTTTTGTTGAATCGAATTCCGTGAAAATGAACTCGAAAAATTACAAAAACATGTGTGTTTAAACTATTGATGATTACTTAAAAAAAATCGATAGTTTTCGATAGTCATAAACTATCGATAATATCGATAGTATCCGACCACTACTACTGGCCGGACATATACTTTAACTAGGGAAGAAATGATTGAATCTTTAAACATTTTGGAAAGAAAAATTAAAACCAAAAACTATTTGTAAATATTTTTTCATAATAATATAAGTATATTTCTTGTAAAATTTAGTTAGTCTTAAGAAAATTACAAAAATGAGGCCAAAAATGTTCATAATTTTTAATTAGATTTTCTTGTTATTTTTTTTTTTTTCATACTGAACCCATGATTTCTCCATTTTCGAATTTGGCACATATTTTGCTAAGTATTGATAAAAAATATAGTAAGTATAGTAAGTAAAGTAAGTAAAGTAAGTAAAGTAAGTAAAGTAAGGTAAGTAAAGTAAGTAAAGTAAGTAAAGTAAGTAAAGTAAGTAAAGTAAGTAAAGTAAGTAAAGTAAGTAAAGTAAGTAAAGTAAGTAAAGTAAGTAAAGTAAGTAAAGTAAGTAAAGTAAGTAAAGTAAGTAAAGTAAGTAAAGTAAGTAAAGTAAGTAAAGTAAGTAAAGTAAGTAAAGTAAGTAAAGTAAGTAAAGTAAGTAAAGTAAGTAAAGTAAGTAAAGTAAGTAAAGTAAGTAAAGTAAGTAAAGTAAGTAAAGTAAGTAAAGTAAGTAAAGTAAGTAAAGTAAGTAAAGTAAGTAAAGTAAGTAAAGTAAGTAAAGTAAGTAAAGTAAGTAAAGTAAGTAAAGTAAGTAAAGTAAGTAAAGTAAGTAAAGTAAGTAAAGTAAGTAAAGTAAGTAAAGTAAGTAAAGTAAGTAAAGTAAGTAAAGTAAGTAAAGTAAGTAAAGTAAGTAAAGTAAGTAAAGTAAGTAAAGTAAGTAAAGTAAGTAAAGTAAGTAAAGTAAGTAAAGTAAGTAAAGTAAGTAAAGTAAGTAAAGTAAGTAAAGTAAAGTAAGTAAAGTAAGTAAAGTAAGTAAAGTAAGTAAAGTAAGTAAAGTAAGTAAAGTAAGTAAAGTAAGTAAGGTAAGTAAGGTAAGTAAAGTAAGTAAAAGTAAGTGCTGTCAATACAATAAAATGACACTCTTATTTTATTGTATTGATAGCGTACCCATAGTGGGTATCTAGACTTTCTGAGAGCTATGCCAATGGCACAATCAGAAATTTTCTCTGAACAACACGTTTTAGATACCATCTTCAAGTTTAAAGTTTGGATCATGCTCTTTTAGAAAATAAACCACACGAAGCTATTGAAGTTTTATCGAAAATTGTTTCATAAATATCGACGTTAATTATTAAAATTTTCTATATAAAAAAAATAAAATTTGGTTGAAGCAATTTTCATACTGACCCTGAATGTGAACAACAAAAAGAAAACCGGCAAATTCGATATGAAAATAAAAATACTAGACACGTGTATTAATTGTTTACTATTCATATAACAAGAAATTATAGGTATGCGAATAAATAGTCAGTTCAGAATTACACGTTAGGTAATTTGATTAGACAGCGTTGACGTTTTAGATGACATTCGATGACTGAATTTGCTATTCATTAATGCCTAGTTGCTAGTTGGGGATAGAATTATATACCTCGAAAAAATTGGTCATGAATTACACCACGTATTATGGGATCAAAGCTATTTACTAAATTATACTTGGTATTTGTTAAAATTTAATTCAATTTTTTCAACGTTGCTTTATGAAAATGTATATAGAATAACAATTTACAATAGAGAGTTGAAGTATTTCCAGTACGTTAACGTAAACGTCCGTAAGCTTACATATATACATAGACGTGAACGTGAAGGATATTTATATACGCATGCGTAGATATCAATTTTCACGTATACGTTTATAGCATCACTTCAACTCTCTAATAAATGTATTTTAATTTTTTAACCCTTTGCACCCCGAAGTTTTTTGTAATGTAACTTTTAGCTAAACACGGAACGCCACTGGAATCAAACTTCTATTCTAAAACTATTTTGTCTTTTAGTATACAATGTCAATTAACATTTTGACAAATATCAAAAACTTGTTTATCATTAAGAGCAAAAGCAAAAATGTTGTGAGGGTTTTGTAATATAAAATTGTATTTATATGCGCGCCACTGGGAATACTTAGAGATGTTATGTGTCTCGAGAATTATTGAGAAAAGACAGCACTTTACAGGGATAT